CCTCCTCCTCCTCCTCCTCCTCCTCCTCCTCCTCCTCCTCCTCCTCCTCCTCCTCCTCCTCCTCTTCCGGGTCTGGGCCAGGGCCAGGGCCTGGCCCCGCGGTCGCTGCGCCGCCCTGGCGCTGCTCGAGGCCCTGCCGTTTCGCTCTCGGCTCCACCGTCTTCGCTTCCACCGCCTCTCTCTCTCTCTCTCTCTCTCTTTCCTGCGCTGGCCCTTGCGGCAAGTCCGTGCCGCGACGACGCTGGCGTTGGTTTTGACACCGCGTTGATCGCTCAACCCTGAACGATCGTGGTTTGCCGACAGGGCGGATCGGTTGATGTCGGCCGATTCGGGGCCACTGGCGTCATGCAACCCTGAACGCCCGCGCCGGGGTCGCCGCCGCGCAGGCACGACACGATCCTGCCGAAATCCCGGAAAGGGGGGGACGCATGCGCGCGCAGAGCATGGCCTGCTCTGCGCACGTGCGCAGTGCAAGTGGAGGACGATGATGACGGCGACGATGACGGCGACAGGGAGGGCCGGAGCGCAGAAGGGCCACCTTTGGCGGGGCTCCCCCTCTTCCTCCGCCTCCTCCTCCTCCTCCATCTCCTCCTCCACCTCCTCCTCCTCCTCTTCCTCCACCCCCTCCTTCTCCACCTCCTCCTCCTTCTCCTCCTCCTCCTCTTCCTCCTCCTCCTCCTCCTCCTCCTCCTCCTCCTCCTCCTCCTCCTCCCACTCTTCGTCCTCCTCCCAGAGCTACCTCCTCTTCCTTCTCCTCCTGCACCCTCCGCCCTCCTTCAACCCGTTTCCTCCTTCCCCTTATTCTCCTCCGTTCCCTCCTCCCCCGCCTCCTCTCCCCCTTTCGCTCTTCGTTTCCCTCCTCCTCGACTCGCGCAGGGCCGCGACTCCTCCCAGGGGCCTCCGCTCCCTGGGCCGCCGCTCGTGCTGGACAGGCCGCTCTGTACAGCCGGCAAGAGGGCAGATGATGGAGGGAGAGAGACGGGGGGGGATGGAGGGAGGAGGAGGAGGAGGAGGAGGAGGAGGAGAAGGAGGAAGAGGATGCGGAAGAGGAGGAGGAGGAGGCGGAGGAGGAGGAAGAAGAGGAGGAAGAGGAGGATGAAGAGGAGGAGGATGAGGAGGTGGAGGAGGAGGAGGAGAAAGAGTGGTGATGATGCTGATGATGATAAAGATGATAATGATGATGATGCCGCTGATGATGATGATGCTGATGATTATGATGATGATGATGCTGATGATGATGATAATGATGATGATACTACTGATGCTGATGCTGCTGCTGCTGATGATGATGACGATGATGATGATGCTGCTGATGATGATAATGATGCTGAAGATGCTGGAGCTGCTGACGATGAGGACGACGATGATGATGCTAATGATGATGCTGCTGCTGATGATGATGATGAAGGGGGTGATGATGCTGCTGATGATTAGGCTGTTGCTGCTGATGATGATGATGAGGACTATAGTAACGATGAATATGATGATGACGATGATGATGATGATGATGAAGGTGACGATGAAAATGATTATGATAATGATGCTGATGATGATGGTGATGATGATGGTGGTGATGACGATGACGATGATGATGCTGATGATGATGCAGATGATGATGATGATGATGATGATGATGATGATGATGATGATGATGATTATGATGATGATGATGATGATGACGATGCTGACGATGCTGACGATGACGATGGTGATGATGATGCTGATGATGCTGCAGATGATGATGATGATGATGATGATGATGATGATGATGATGATGATGATGATGATGATGATGATGATGATGATGATGATGATGATGCTGATGCTGATGTGATGATGTGATGATGATGATGATGATGATGATGATGATGATGATGATGAATGATGATGATGATGATGATGATGATGATGATGGTGATGATGGATGATGATGAGATGATGATGATGATGATGATGATGATGATGATGATGATGATGATGATGATGATGATGATGATGATGCGAGGTAAGAGGATACTTCAAGGACGGAAAGATGCCGCTGACGTGGACGAGGACGGAGGGGGGGCAGAGAGGGCAGGGCGGCCAGAGGAACAACAAGCGTCGGCGACCGTCCCGAGAGCCCGAGCAACTCGCGCCGAGGCGTCTGCCCAGGGCAGCTCGGCGAAGCCATGGGCAGCCCTCGACCCGCACCCTCCGCACCTTCCTCGCGGCGGGTGCCCCGCTGCCGCGGCTGCCGCCGCGGCCGCATCTGCGGCCACCGTCGAGGCGGCCGCGGCGGCCGTGGCGGCCGCGGCGGCCGCATCGCGGCGGCCGCATCGCGGCGGCACCTTCCGCGCGGAAGGTGCGGACAATGCAGGTCGAGGCAGGGCCCGCCGGGGCGCTGGCCGCGCCAGCCGCGCCGGCCCCAGGGCGGCTCACAGTGGCCTCCGCCGGCGCGCCGCGCGCCGCGCCAGGAACGCCGCCGCGCCGCTGGCGTCCGCCCCGAGCCGGGCGGCCCGCGCGGCGCAGTGCGCGGCGCGCCGCTCGGCGCGCCGCGCGCCGCGCCCGGGCGGCAGGTCCGAGGGCTCGGCTGCGCGCAGGAGTGGCCTCTGGCAGGGGTGGCCTCTGGCGCGCGGCGTGCGGGTGCCGCGGGGAAGCCGACACCCCGGCGCGCAGGCCGGTGCAGGAGGGACCCCTTGTGGGCCCGCACCCCAGGTTGCGGTGGCAACTCATGGGAGCCTCCCATGCCATCTTGCTGTCTCTTGCAGGCCCTTGCGGCTCGACACTGGCCGATGTTGGCCGACGCTCATCGACGCTAGATCGACGCGGAATCGGCGCTTTCTCATCGACTACTGGACGCTAGCGCACGCTCGTGCACTTTGAAGGACGGAGTTGCGAGGACACGCAGGGCACTCATGAATCGCGACCCCAGACCCCCGACGTCGTGTTTTTTTCACGACGTCGACCCCCAGAGGTCTGGACCCTTTCCCCTGGGCCGGTTTTTCATCCCGAGTTGTTTTTTGACGCTCCCGAGGCCCAGGGAGGGCCCCCGGAGGCCGACAATAGCGAAAAACCTCCCGTCGTGATTTTTTCACGACGCGAGGAGGTCTGGGACCGAAGCAAGTCACTCTGGCGACAGGTCGCTCCGTCGAAAGGTCACTCTTGCGCGCAGCCGAGAGGGCGCGGCGTCCGCCGCCCTGGCGGCCTGCCGCGGGGCCGGCGGCGGCGGCGCGGGCGCTCGGGCGCCGCGCGCGGCGAGGCGCTCGGCCGAGGCCTCGAAGAGCGGCGCGACGCGACGGGCGTCGAAGACGACCACCTCTTCGGGGCGCTCTCTGAGACACGATCCTGGCGGGAAGGCCCAGCCGTTTGCAGCCGCGAGCCCAGACCCCCTCGCGTCGTGACAAAATCACGACGGGAGGTTTTTGACTGTTTTCGCCCTCTGGAGGCCCTCGCCGGGCCTCGGGACCGTCAAAAAACGACTCGGGGTGAAAAACCGGTCCCGGCGAAAGGGTCCAGACCTCTGGGGGTCGACGTCGTGAAACAATCACGACGTCGGGGGTCGGGGAGTGTCGCGGGGCAGGTGAGAGGGAGGAGGGGGGCCAGCAACATGACTGCGGCGTTCCAGATGCCCCGAGCCTGAGCCCGTCGGTGGGGCCCCCGCTGGGGCCACGAAGCGTGTAGCGTGTGAGGGGTGTGCTGGATCGGGTGCGGGTGCGCCATGCCACTGGGCCCTTCGGCAGAAATTCCGATGGGGCCACGAAGCGTGTGAGGGGTGGGCCCAATCGGGCGCTGGAGCGCCATGCGCACCCTGCCGCTGGGTCCTTACCGCTGGGCCCTTCGGCGGACCTCGCTGTGGGGCCACACAACGCGAGAGGGGCGTGCCGATTCGGGTCCGGGTGCACCATGCGGGTTCTGCCGGTGGGGCCTTTACTGGAGCTTCCCATGGGGCCACGAAACGTGTGAAGGGTGTGCCGGATCGGGCGCGGGTAATTACGCCATGCGGACCCTGCCGCTGGGCCTTCGTTGGAGCACCCTACGGGGCCACAAACAGTGTGAGCGGTGTGCCCAATCGGGTGCGGGTACGCCGTGCGGACCCTGCCGCTGGAGCCTTCGGCAGAGCTCCCCGTGGGCCCACGAAGCGTGTGAGAGGTGTGCCGAATCGGGCCCAGGTGCGTCATGCGAAGCCTGCCGTTGGGGCCTTCGATGGAACACCCTATGGGGCCACGAAGCGCATGAAGGGTGTGCCGAATTGGGTGCGGGTGCGCCATGCGGACCCTGCCGCGCTGGGGCCTTCGGTGGAGCTCCCCAAGGGACCACGAAACGCGTGAAGGGTGTGCCAAGATGGTGATGAGGAGATGCGGAGGGCAGAGGCAGGGATGGGAAGAGGAGGGGGAGGATCAGAGGAGAGGAAGGGAGAGGAGAGGAGAGGAGAGGAGAGGAGAGGAGAGGAGAGGAGAGGAGAGGAGAGGAGAGGAGAGGAGAGGAGAGGAGAGGAGGAGCGGAGAGGAGGAGAGCAGGAGACGCGGGCACCGCGGAATCCAAAGCGGGGACCCACACAACAGGGGCCGGGAAACGTTCCGCGAATTCAGGCGAGCATGTTTTTTACCCCTCCTTCCTCTCCTACTCCCTTTCCTCCTCTCTCCGCTCCTCCCCTCCTCCTCCTCCTCCTCCCTCCCTCTCTCCTCTCTCCTCCTCCTCCCCTCCTCCCCCCCGTCTCTCTCCTCCTCCTCCTCCTCCTCCTCCCCCCTCCTCTTCCCCTCTCCGCCCCCCTACTCCCCTCCCCTCCTCCTCCTCCTCCCCCTCTCATCTTCCATCCTCTTCTTCCTCTCTCCTCCTCCCTCTCCTACGCTCCTCTCCTCTCTATATCTCTTCCCCTCTTCCTCTCCTCCTCCTCCTCCTCCTCCCTCCCTCCCTCTCTCGCCCCCGTCTCGTCCTCTCGTTTCCTCGTCCTCTCGTCCTCGTCCTGCTCGTCCTGCTCGCCCTCTGCTCGCCTTTCGTCTGCTCGTCCTCCTCGCCTCCTCGTCCTCCTCGTCCTCCTCGTCCTCCCGTCCTCCTCGTCCTCCTCGCTTCCCGTCCTCCTCGTCCTCCTCGTCTCCTCCTCCCCTCCCCTCTCCTCTCTGTCCTCCTTGTCCTCCTCGTCCTCTCGTCCTCTCGTCCTCTCGTCTCCTCTCCTCCTCCTCTCCCGTCCTCTCGTCCTCCGTCCTCCTCGTCCCGTCCTCCTCCTCCTCTCCTCTCCCCTCCTCCTCTCTGTTCCCCCTCTACCTTGCTCCTCTTTCTCCTCCCTCACTCCCTCCCTCCTCTCTGCTCCTACTCCTCTCCTCCTCCTCCTCCCTCCTCCTCCCCTCCGCTCCCTGCCGCCTCCGCTCAGCCCTCCCGCCCCGTTCCGCCTCCTCCTCCTCCGCTCCTCCTCTCCTCCTCCTCCCTCCTCCTCGTCTCCTCGTCTCATCCCGTCCTCCTCCTCCTCCTCCTCCTCCTCCTCCTCCTCCTCCTCTTCCTCCTCCTTCTCCTCCTCCTCCTCCTCCCCCTCAACAATCACCCAATATGAATACTACTTTCCCTCTTTCCCTGATGACGGCCTGGGAGTGTCCGACCCCCGCCCCGCGTACTGCTTTTTACACACAGGTTTTCCCAGAGTTGGGTTTTCGCCTGCATTTTTTCCTAAATGCTGCTATCGCTGAGGCGCCGGCCTCATTTTCGGGCCCCGCTCGTTCCGAATCGTGCTCCCGCTGCAGCGCTGGCATCATTTCCGCCGGCGCCCCCGGGCTGCACGCCCGAGCCGGCGCCCGGGCCCGCGCTCGGGCCGGGTCCGGAGCCGGTTCCGGCCGCCGCCGGAAAATCGAGTTCCGAGGCGGCGCCGAAAAAAGGCCATTCTAATACACATTTTTCTTTTGAGAATGCTCAATTTCTGCTTCCTGCGCCCGGGAGGCCTCCCGGGCCGGGCCGGCGCCCGAGCCGGCGCCCGGGCCGGACGCCCGAGCCGGCGCCCGGGCTGGCGCCCGGGCCGGGTCTGGAGCCGGTTCCGGCCGGCGCCGGAAAATCGAGTTCCGAGGCGGCGCCGAAAAAAGGCTATTCCAACACACATTTTTCTTTTGAAAATTCTTAATTTCTGTTTCCTGCGCCCGGGAAGCCTCCCGGGCCGATTCCGGCGTGCTTCTGCTCGTTCCGATACGTGCTCCCGCTGCAACGCTGGCCTCATTTCCGCGCTTCCGCTCGTTTCGACTCGTGCTCCCGCTGCAGCGCTGGCGTCATTTCCCGTGCCATGCCACGGCATGCAGTGCAATGCTAGGTTGATACCAATGCAATGCTAGGTTGATACTACGCTTCGTGGTGCTCTTCTACGCCATGCCATGCCGTGCTCTACAGTGCATCGCGTACCCTTTCGGGATCATTGCCCTGCTCGACATCCGACTGTGCGAGTAGAGAGGGGATCTGCGCCATGGTAAGGGATGGGAGGGAAAGGTAGGATGTCAGATATGACGCCAGCGCGCCTAGCTTGCCCTCCTCCCCCCTCCTCCTCCTCCTCCTCCTCCTCCTCCTCCTCCTCCTCCTCCTCCGCCTACGCCTCCTCTCCTTCCTCCTCCTCCTCCTCCTCCCCCGTCCTCCTCCTCGCTCTCTCGTCCTCATCCTCTCTCTCATTCTCCTCTCCTCTCTCCTCTCCTCCTCCTTCTCCTCCTCCTCTCGCCTCCCCTCCGCCCCGCCTCCCCTTCTCCCCTCCTCCACCCTCTCCCCTCCTCTCCTCCTCCTCCTCTCCTCCTCTCCTCCCCTCCTCCTCCTCCCTCCTCCTCTTCCTCCTCCTCCCACCTCTCCTCCTCCTCCTCTCTTCCCTCCACCTCCTCCTCCTCTCCTCTCTCCCTCCTCATCCTCCTTCCCTCCTCCTCCCCCCCCCTTTTCCTCTCCTCCTCCTCCCGCCTCTCCTCCTCCTTACCTCCTCCTCCTCCCTCCTCCTCCCTCCTCCTCCTCCTCCTCCTCCTCCTCCTCCTCCTCCTCCTCCTGCTTCTTCGTCTCGTCCTCCTCCTCGTCCTCCTCCTCGTCCTCCTCCTCGTCCTCCTCGTCCTCGTCCTCCTCCTCCTCCTCCTCCTCCTCCTCCTCCTCCTCCTCCTCCTCCAGGCCTGCTGGGCCTGGGGCGCGGCACACGCTCGGGGTCGCCCGCGGGGGCGGCGGAGCTCCCCCGGCGTCCGAAGAGCGGCGCACGCTCGGCGGGACTCGAGGGGGCGTCCAGCGAGTCGTCGAGAAAGCGCCGGCGGTCGAGGAGCGACGAAGAGCGCGGGGGCGTCGAAGGGCGTGGAGGCGCGTCGGCGTCGAGGAAGCGTCGACGACGAAGAGAGTCGAAGAGCGCTGGCGTCGAAGGGCGTGGAGGCACGTCGGCGTCGAGGAGCGTCGGCGACAAAGAGAGTCGAGCAAGGTCGGCGTCGAAGAGCGTCGAGTGGCGTCGGCGTCGAGGATCGTCGCGTCGGCCGCGGCGCTCCGCTCGAGACTCCTGAAGCTGCCAGGGCCCCCGCTGCTCGGGCCTGCATCATGGCAACCGTGAAGCACACGAGGAACGCACGCGATGGAACGCGGTCACGGGGCAATGGTTTGGCATGCGAGCGACGGTCAGACGCGCATCCAGCGCCTACAGGCCTGCCTGCGGGGCCACGATTGTGTATATTCCTATTTATATATTTTTTACACGGCCGGGGACCCCGGAAAAACGGCACACGGTGCCCCACCCCCCCCCCCCCAACGAATTTCGGCCTCCCCGAGCCTCTGGGGCGCTCCTGCAGACCCTAGTAGACAAAAAATAGATACTGGTAGTGTCTATATTTGGTGCGCGCCTGCTATGGCGAAGCCGCAACGCATCTGAGTCGGAGCGCGCGAAACGCGAGTCTATTTTTATTCTGTTTTGATATGCAATTCGCGTGACCAAATGAAAATAAGCACGTGCAACATAGATACTGTTACCAACAAATACGGAATCAGCTTTTTATGAAAAATAGACACTAATAGACACGCTCCTTCTTTAAAAATAGATACGCATTGCAATTTCCTCGAGTTGAAAATAGAAACTCATCAAAACACATAGAAACTGGTTCGAACAAGTAGATACTGATAGATTTGGCGTGCGCCGAATACATGGCCGAGCCCAGAAATAGACACTCCAAGCTCCGCTGAAACGTCAGAGGTTAAAAGGTTGGGTGGTTCCCTGGGGACTCCTAAGGATTCGTTAAGGATTCCTAGGGGCTCCCTAGGGATTCACTCGGGATCCCGAAGAATTCCTGAAGGCTTGCTCAAGGATTCCCTGGGGATTGCTGCGGGCTCCCTAGAAGGAGTCCTAAAGATTCCCGATGGGTTTCTGGGGATTCCCT